AAAATTTTAATGAAATTTTAAAATTAGAATTTTTTATTATCTCTTTCCTCCCTACATCATTAATAATAGTTTACAATTATTGATATTTTAAAACCATTTTATATAATATAATTTATAATTTAATAAAATTAATAATCAATAAATAAATCACATAATAAAAATAAATTGAATAAAAAATAAATTAAAGTTATTATTATTAGTGATATAAAAATATAAACGATTTATTTATTATGATTTACACATGTAAAAAGTAATTTTTTAATCTAATGATCATAATTAAACTTATTATTTAATGGTCATAATTAATTATGTGCCTTAAATTATGAAGAGTTACTGTTTAATATATTTATCAAATCATAAATTATTAATTTAATTTAAATTTTGAATGTATTTATATATTACATTATAAAAATAAATTTATTAATTTGATTATCATAATTAATCAGTGCTTTAAATAATGAAGAATTATTTTTTCAATTTTCATATTATAATATTAATTGACAATTAAAAGTTTACAACTTACAAATCAAATAATTATCCATTTGGGTCTATATACATATAATTTAAGTTAAATTATTAATCAATTATTACATCATAATAATGATTTAAACTTATTGATATTTAAAAATCATTTTATATAATCTAATTTTAATCTAATAAAATTAATTTAATAATTTTAATCATTGTAAAATTTTTTAATAATTATTTAATCTAATAATCATAATTAATTTAGAAAGTAAATTTACTAATCTAATGGTCATAATTAATATATAAAAATAAATTTATTAATTCAATTATCATAATTAAATTTATTAATCTAATGATTATAATTAATAATTGGCTTAATATAAAAATAAGTGTCCAAACTATATCGCTTTTTACAAATAGGTGCCTAAACTTTTTCTGATCAATCCAGGTGTCAAACGTTACCGATTTAGGTGCCCGGACCGTAACTGTCGTTAAAAAACTCTGTTAAGTGACACATGTCACTTTTTGGTTATTTTAATTTTTTATTTAAACTAAAAACATAAGAATATAATTTTATTTAAAAAAAACTCAAAACTTTTGAAAATCTAAAAAAAACCCAAAACTTTGAAAACTTTTATTACAACCTCGATACCCACGGCTCCAACGGCAGCCACAGTGGTTGGGGCAAGGACGACTGGCAATGGAGGTGGCGAGGATGACGAAAACGTTGATGGTCGTGGTCGGAAATAGAGACATTAGGGTTAGGGTTTGGGATTTAGAGATGATTTTAGGGATTTAGAGATGATTTTAGGGATTTAGGTTTTTTGTAATTTTAGAAAAATTAAGATTTTTAAAAAATATAATAATATTTTAAATTTTTTAAAATAAATTTTTAAAATTACTGAGTTTTTTAACGGTTGTTACGGATGAGGAACCTAAAGTGGGGCAAGAACGTGACATGTGTCTCTTAACGGGGCTTTTTAATGGCCGTTACGGATGATGAACCTAAAGTGGTAATGTTTGTAACATTAGGCACCTGGATTGATTGAAAAAAAAAAAGTTTAGGCTTTGAAAAAAAAGTTATTAATTTAATAGAACTTTTGAGTATATTTATAGATTACAATTTATAAATATAAAAAGTAAACATATTAATTTAATGATCATATTTAATCATGTACCTTAAATAGTGTAGAATTATTTTGTCACTCTATGTTATAATAAATTCATAATCTCATAACTTCATCAATTGCAACTTACAAGTCAAGTAAATACCAAGTAGAATCAATATCAGATTATTTTAATAAGGCTTAAGGGTCACTTTTGCCCATGTAGTAGACTCAATTTATCATTTTCGCCCCTATGATATTTTCGCATCAATTTAACACTCAAAGTTGTATAATTGCATCATCTTAAACCCTAAACCCTATAGTAAATATTTTAAACATTGATGCAATTAAACAACTTCGATGGCTAAATTGATGTGAAAATATCATAGGGGCAAAAATGATAAATTAGGTCTATTACAAAGACAAAAATGACCTTAAGTCTTTTAATCATAAGTCAGATAATTTACAAGTTGATTCAATTACAGATCAAGTTCATAGCAAGTCAGATTGATAACAGGTCAGATAATATCAGTTATGTATCAGGTTAATCTCGGGTTCGGTTTCATATCAGGTCGGATTTAGTTATGACAATATCAGGTTCAATTCGGGTTCAAGTCATTCTCAAGTCAGATTCATATCCAAAATTGTCAAGTTTAACTGATTTTAGATCAACAACAGTTTTGACTTGAATCGATTTCGGATCATTATCACCTCAAGTCACAAACAATTTTAAATCAAGTCGGTTTTAGTTAGTTTTGCAGGTGGAATAAGTTTTTTACATTTCTAATTGTAAATAGGGATATCTACCTGAATTGGAATCTCAAAAATGTGTCTGCTAGATAGCTAATGTGGACTGATTACTCTACAAGTGGTTTTGGTTTATTCTTGGATTGCAATACAAATTTACATTCATCCAAAAAATAATGCTAAAATAGCAGCAATCGGGCTGGAGGGAAATTAAAAAGTAATTATAATTGAAAGAAACTTTCCATTTAATACTATTTTAAATTTGGTGCTTATATTTAAAACACCACATTCAATACTCAAGCGGACAACTACATTGAAGAAAGGATCTGATTGAAATGATAGTAATAGTTGGATGAATTATTCAGAATGTTTTGAAATTGGAAGAGAAGTTCAAAACCTGAATATAGTTTGGGGATGTATGGTGGAATTCGCCTATAAAGATTTAACTAATGTTGAAACCCTAAAATAAAAACAAAACATCTGTATGTGCGCTTATTAGATTCAAGGTAAGCTGGGTGAGTGTGAAGTGAATGAAATCGTTGGGCTCATAAAAGTTTGTTATTAATTTGGGTTTTGTTCAACAGAGAGGAGGTGAATTATGAGCCGTTACACTAGTAATTCCTGGAATCACCTTGGCGTTCGAGGGCGATATGGAGTGCTGGAGGCATTGCCTTTCCGTGCTTGGATATATCGGCCGGATTTGTTGAAAAGAGTATGGATATTATACAGATCCGACAGATGGGGACTCATTTTTCATCGTTGAGTGGCACACTTTGAATCTGCAAACTGAAGAAATCAGTAAGACTCTGAGTACAATGCCACTCGAGGCTATTCTTTCTGGAACTGCCGTTGCCAATGGCAACCGCGTTTACGTCCTCGGGGGAGGATGCAAGGGGATCCTTGCTGTGCCACTGCCATCAGCTGGAGCCACGCTGTCACCATTCTCGTCGTCGTTCACCTCACAAGGCAAAAACCCTATTAAAAATCAGAAAATCTAATCAAATCCAAATAAATAATAATAAACTCAAAATCAATCTAATCCCGAATTTCATGCAAGCAACACCCTGTTCAACCATAACCCTATTACTGAGCCCTACCTCAATCATCAGGCCTCCTCTAACTTCACCAAACTCCAACAATTATGAAGAAAAGAGAAACAACCATAAATAAAAGGGATTCGGTGAGAAAAAGAAAAAAATGAGGAGACCCAGAGAGATTTTCGAACCCAAAAATACCGAGAGAGATTCGAATCCAACAAAACCCAAAAAATAAAAGAAAAAAACCCGAAAGAAACTTTTACCTTTAGACCATCATTTCATTCACCGGAGTAGAGAGACCTGTTTGAGTCAACAAAGGTAATCTACTTACCTTTTGGGGGTTTGGGTTCAGTTGGGTAGAAATGTTTTTGGCTTAGGAGAGCAAAGAGGGTTCTGTGAGGATTATTTTAAGTGCTAACCACCGCTCGGTCGTTGGAAGCGTCGTAGATCGGCGGCTGTTGGGAGGATTTGGGGAGAGAGTTCATAACTCTCCCTTTTCTTTTCTTTTTTTAGGAAGAGGAGATAATGGGAGAATAGGGTTTTTTAACCCTTAAAAGTGATATATAACCACTTAAAGGAACGACGGCGTTTTGCCAAGAGGAATGGGCCGCGTTTTAAGAAAGGGGATAATAATATTTTAAGTCCCTGGACATTTGTAAGGTTTCGTTTTAGATATTAATGAATTTTCATTTTCTTCTGATATGGACTTCATGTTTATTCCTCATTCTATTTTCGTCCTATGTTTTTTTTGGATAAGTAAGTTATATTTCATCCAAAAATGCAGACTAGTTGCTACAACTAACAAAATTACCTCACTAGGACATACCCCAATTCAAGTATAAATGCCTATTAACATCATCAAGCTTGGACATACCATATCTACACAACTTGACTCTTACAACCACTTTTATACTATTTACAATTACATCAACCGATCGAGACAAGCCCCTAAAGGGCCTATGGTTATGCTCTTCCCAAATAGAATACATCAGTCCATTCCAAGAAAGTTTCAGGATACAAAATCTGAGGGATTTACCCTTCAAATTTGTAATCAGCCAATTAAAAAAATCATCCCAATTGTTCAGGTCATAGTGAACATCACAGGAGGTTAGAATAATATCCCACACTTCCCTAGCAAAAGCACATTCAGCAAAGAGATGATCTCAAGATTCAATGCCAAAGCCACATAAACCACAACATTATCAATAGCCAAACCAAAACGGACAAGCCTATCTTTAGTAAGCAACCTATCGAGAATGACCATCCATGAGATTAAAGAGAATTTAGGGATGTGAGCAAGGAACCAGATCAGCCTGTGCCAGTTTACCTTCACACTGCAATCCCGGATATTGTCCCAGATCCATTTGCCTTTAATAAGGCTCCAGTTGGTATAAGGAAAGAATAACCGTCTAACCTTCTCTCGTATACTCAGAAGTTTGCTCAGGATCCAACTGAAATGAACTTTGCACTCTACATCCCAAAAGCTAGCTATTTTGAGACATTACTCTTTAATCCAGGCAATCCAAAGAGAGCTTTCATTAGACAATATGATTTTTACAAGTAGCAGACAACAAGCTTTATTCCATACCACTAGGTTTCTAAGACCCAACCCACCCTCAAGCTTCAAGGAGCATATATGATTTCATCCCACACGAGCTCCTTTTGCTGGGGAATCACTTCCCTTCCAGAAGAATCGCATACAAAGGCATTCAATGTCCCTGATGATCCCCTTGGGTAAAACCAGCTGCCTACTCCAGTAGTTAAAAATGCTGAACAATACAGTTTTAACCAATTGGAGCATACCACCATAACTCAGGTTCTTGTTAGACCAATGCCTAAGCTTGTCCTTAATCTTTGTCAAAAGAGCTTCACAGTCTTTACCTGTGAGTTTGCGGGTCACCAGAGGCACCCTAAGATACCTCATTGGGAGTTGTCCCAACCTAAACCCAGTAGCCAATCGGATCTGCTCCAGGTCAAGCATATTCAAACCACAATCATACAGTTCTGTCTTCTGAGCATTTAGTTTAAGACCAGAATGCTCATAAAACTTATCTAAAGTGCTTTGCACTCCCAACACAACATCTAAAGAACCATGACAAAAAACAAGCAGATCATCCGCAAGCAAAGGTGTGTGAGAGATATTCTTCTACACTTAGGGTGGAACTTAAAGATACCATGTTTTGTAGCAACATCTAAGAGAGTGGTCAGAACATTCATGGTAATGACAAATAGGTAGGGAGATAAATGATCTTCTTACCTAATCCCCCTAGCTCCTTTGAAGTACCCCACCAAGCTACCATTTAAAGAGAGAGAGAACATTGGAGTAGTAATGCAGGCCTTAATCCAATTATAGAAAATATCAGGGAGCCTCATAGCAGCAAGTACATTCAACAAGAATTCCCAACTAACAGAGTCAAAAGCCTTTTGCAAATCAATTTTGACAGCACATCTAGGTGAAAGGCTCTTCCTATAATAGCCATTAATAATTTCCTGAACTAGCAAGGTGTTATCAATAATGTTTCTACCCTTGACAAAAACTGATTGACTAAGGGATATCATGCCAGGGAAGAAAGGGGCTAGTCTATTAACAAGAATTCTTGTGATAGTTTTATAAACTACTGAGCAACAAAAGATGGGTTTAAATTCTTTTTCTAGGCATGCATTAAGGGATTTAGGCACCAAAACTATGGCAGTGGAATTGAATACAGGAAGTAAACAAGAGGACTGGAAAAAATACCTCACAACAGAAATAAAGTCAGTACCTACAATGTCCCAGGCAGCCTTGAAAAATCCAGAGGTATAACCATCAGGGTCTGGGCTCTTGTCCTTTTCTTGCTTAAATAGGGCCTCCTTAATCTCCATATCACTCACCTTTCTAGTTAAAAAATCAATAGCTCCTTCTGGCAAGGAATAGTTTAGCAGACCTTTTAGATCCTCAGCAGAACTACTCCTGACTAAAGGGTCCTCAACACCAATCAGGTTAGTGAAAAAACTCACTAACTCAGTAGCCATGCCTTCAAAAGTGTCATAATATTGACCATATTCTCTTTTCTTTTCTTATTAGATTATATCCTCTGGTGAAAGAATCTAGTATTGAGATCACCCTTATTTAACCAATGCATCTTAGCCTTCTGTCTATAGAACTCAGATTCAGCTACTTCCAGATTCACAAGCTCATTATAAATTCTTTTCTCATTATCATCTCTCCTCTGCTCAACATGAGTCAGATTAAAAATCTGAATTTGCTCCAGTTCAGATTATTTCCCCTTCACTCTGTCAGTAATATTAGAAAAATGCTCCTTTTTAAGCTCTTTTAAGAGAGGCTTAATCCTTCGCAATTTACTGAAAAGGACTTACATGGAAGAACCTTCACAGTGCACTTACCATGAATCTTTAACTGTACTCAGAAATTTATCATGTGAGGCCCAACAATTAAAAAACTTGAAAGGTCTAGGTTTCTTGATCATAGCATCCTTATGTGTCCATAATAACCTAAGGCAATGATCAGAGACTCATTGTGCTTTGAGTTCAACAAAAGACTCAGGGTAATCCAGTAACCACTGAGAATTAACCAGAACCCTATCTAGCTTCCGAGTTAAAAAAGATCATTCCTGCCTGTTTGACCATGTGAACATAGGCCCAAGAAAAGGATGGTCCATTAAATCAAGCTCCTCCAAACAGTCTTGGAACTCCTTTATGTCAGAGGATTTGTGCACTCTCATAACCTTAAAGTCTGAACTTTCCTCAGCTCTGGCAATAATATTGAAGTCCCCACCAATCACCCAAGAGGAAGAGCCAAGATCATTCTTTACAATCCTCAAATGCTCCCAAAGACCTCTTCTAGTAACACCACTATTGCTTCCATAAACTGCAGTTATTCATGTTCTAAGCCCATCAATATTTCCAATAATTCAAATGGCCTGATTACATCTTCTTTGAACAAAAAATGACAGCTGTTTCTCCCAAAGAATCCACAATCTACCCCCATCCACACAATCATAAGTTTCAACCAAGTTCCAGTCAATAGAAAGGGCAAAAGAGAATTTGGCAGAATTTTTTTCGTCTAATCCTAGACTCCATAAGACAAATAACATCCACTTCACAAGAATCCAACCTCTTAAGCATTTTCAACTGCTTTAGGGGGTTATTAATCCCCTTAACATTCCAAAAGCTCACTATCATCAAGATGAGGCAGGAACATCATAACTAGTACCCCAGATTCACCACATTACACGTAACTTTATCCAGATGATCCCTTTTCTTTGCCTTGATCTCATTAAGCAACATGGCTACACCCATAGATGCAACCCTAGTCTTCCTATGACCATCCACCAAGTTTTCTGACTTGCTAGAGGAATCAAAAACCTCTTTTTTCTTTCCCCTAATCTTCTTCTTCAGAGAATCCTACAGTGAAGGGAAATCACCAGGCTTGACAACATTAATACCCACTCCCTCATCCCCCAGGCTGTTCACAAGTCTACTAGAGTCAACATTATGATCCTCTATTAGAGTGATCTTATCAGTAGTAACAACTTGCACAGAAACAGTCCCCATGCCAGCAATCTGGGTAACCTCACTGGTTTCTTGTAGATCATGAACATAGGACTCCATAGCAATACCAACCTGGAGATGTGAATGGTGAATCCCCCCAAATGAACTGTCAGGAAGAGAATCTGAACCATGAGACTCAGTAGCATTAGTAATCTTCACATTAGGTTCATCAATATTGATATTCATAGTTTCCTTACTTCTAGACTCAACAGTATATAGGTCTTCTTTCTTCCTCCAGACTTGGACTTCTTTGGGTTTCACGAAAGTCTACCTAACCTCTACACACGAACTGACATGATGCCCAAACACTTTACATTTAGCACAAGATTGAGGCATCCATGGCACATGCACCTTAATTATCACAGACGACCCATCCTTTATAATTACATGAATAAAGTAGGGAATAATACTACCAGCTTCAATCTCCACATAAAGTTTAGCAAATTCCAGTCTCTCACGAGAAGCAGTAATGGAATCCATATAAAGAGGAGTTCCTAGCGCACTAGCTATGTAAGTTAGCCCCTTTTGAGAATAAAGCTCGAGTTGAATATTGTAAAGTTGAACCCAAATAGACATTAATGCTATGTCAAAATTGAGTTTCTGTAAACCAGTTTCCCACCTCCTTAGAACCAGAGGTTTATTCTGGACATGCCAAGGGCTGTTTTCAAGTACCCAGTCCCTTAGATTAACATCCAAAAACGAAAACACATAAAGGTTAGGACCAACTAAACTAACCTTCACCTGCAAAGAATTCCCCCAAATCGAATCAATAATACGCTGCATTGAGATAAAACTCATAGCCACATCAATGAACTGTCCCACTAGGGCATGATTCCAGTCAGCAATGCCTTCCTTAATCACCTCAATTGGGGGTTTAACCGTGACAGCGCCGTCCTGGTTCTCAAGGGGAAAAAATCGAGCGATTGATTCTTCGATCCCACGAATAATTTCCCCAATCGAGACTCTAGAGCGTCGAATCCATACAGATGAATCAAGTACCAACTACAAAAATCCCAGCTAGCAAGAACGCAGAGAGAATCAGAGGCAAAGAGGAAAAACTGATGACCCATTAGTCCAGCTAACTTGCATCCAGAGAAACTTCATTTGCCTCTTGATATACTCGTTTGTTTACTCGTGCGCCCAAAAGAGACTTTAGTTATCGTCCTATGTTTTATGTTTACATGTGTACGATGATATTTTACTTTGAGCACAAAATTTTTAAATTATTCATTTTAGTCATGATCTTCTCTTTAGAGTATTTAGTTTAATACATGTTCTAGGCTTTTAGTTTTGAATATTGTTTATTTCAACCTCTCGTATATACTAATATATAAAATTGTGGATTTTATGCTTTGGTTCCTATGTTTAACATAGTATTCATTGTAGTCACTGTATGTGTTGAAGAAGACAAACTTCATTTTGGATCAATAAATAGAAACACCATATGATCGCAACATTGGTTTCAAAGTGGAAGATGTTGTTCTCCCGAGACATCGAATGCATCAGAACAGGGGAAAGCAAAGGGAAAAGCTACAGTGATACCCCAAAAGGTATTTGATGATGAATCCCACCAACAGTTAATGAGCCCGTAACAGAAAAACAAGCACAAGAATTTTTGAAATTTCTGAAACATAGCGAATATAGTGTGGTTGAGCAGCTACATAAACAGCAAGCGCGAATTTCAATTCTTGATATGTTGATGAATTCAGAAATACACAGAAATGTTTTGATAAAAGTTCTTAATCAAACATTTGTCCCTGAAGATATATCTCTCAACAAACTTGACAGGATTGTGGAGGCACATAGCTGCTGATAAATACATAACATTCACCGATGATGAAATACCTGAAGGTGGAATGGAATCAGTGAAGGCTTTGAATATTACTACACATTGTCATGGCCATGTGTTGCCAGGAGTATTGATTGATAATGAATATGCTCTTAACTTGATGCCTTTAGTCACACTTCAAAGGATGCCGGTGGATAAATCGCACATGAAAAATTATCAAAACATAGTGCGAGCTTTTGATGGCACTCAAAAGGAGGTACTGGGAAAAATGGAAATACCACTACTGATCGGACCAATATTGTACAATATCGATTTTGTGGTAATGGTTATCCACCCTACATATAATTGTTTATTGGGAAGGTCGTGGATTCATTCTGCAGGAGCTGTTTCTTCTTCATTGCATCAGAAACTGAAGTTCGTTGTTCACAATCAACTGATATGTGTAGGAGCTGAGGAAGAAATCATTGCTTCTGTAAAAAGTGATGCTCCGTATATTGAAACCAATGATGATGCTCTCGAGTGCTTTTTTCCAAGCTTTGGACTTTGTTAATGCAACCTTTATTGCCGAGGGAAGCAAAATTCCACATCCCAGATTGTATGATTGCACCAAAATAAATGTACGACAGACTTTAGGCATAGGAGCTAAAACTGGGAAAGGTTTGGGAAAGAATCTTCAAGGAAGTTCAATTCCTGTAAGTATGAAGATGAAGAAAGATCATTTTGGGCTTGGATTTAAGCCCAAATTTCAGCAAAGGAACAAAGAGATGAAAAGAAGAGGTGAAGATAGAAAAGGCAAGGCTGAAAAGCGAAGAAATTCCATGGGAACACATGTCTTTCCCTCATTTTAAGTCTACGTTCAAATCTGGAGGAATGGTTAATGTAGAACAACATCTTGTTAATGCTCTTAAAGAAGAAAAGTTGATAAAAGATCAAAGTATAGTTGAGGAAGCTATAGAAAGATTAGTTATCAATATGATCACAATTGACCACAAGACTGGCAAATACTTGCCTGGAATTCGCCATTGTCTTCTTAGAGAAACACTCAACAATTGGACTGCTGAGGATCTCCCTATAGTTTTTAGTATTAACTCAGAGTAATACTCAGAGCTAACCTTTATGTTTTAGCCCAAGAATATGAAAACTTTTTGGTATCTTGTAAGAGCAATTATGTTAAGTTCACTTAATATTGAATATAAGAAGTTTTCTTAAAATTCTCAGATGGCAATCATTCTTTATACGTTACATTTTTACATTCATTATTTCTCATTCTTTATATTTATTTTATAAATTTACTATATTGGCTACCTATTCTGGGTATAAAAAATGAGAAATAATGAATGTAAAAATGTAAAGTATAAAGAATGATTGCCATTTGAGAATTTTAAGAAAACTTATTATATTCAATATTAAGTGAACTTAACATAATTTCTCTTACAAGATACCAAAAAGTTTTCATATTCTTGGGCTAAAACATAAAGGTTATTTCTGAGTATTACTTTGAGTTAATACTAAAAACTATAGGGAGATCCTCAGCAGTCCAATTGTTGAGTGTTTCTCCAGGAAGACAAGGGCGAATTTCAGCCAGGTATTTGCCAGTCTTGTCGTCAATTGTGATCATGTTGATAACAAATCCTTCCATAGCTTCCTCAACTATGCTTTGATCTTTCATCAA